ATACGAAGAAGGGAAGAATTTGTCATCATCAAAACATACACCAAAGACAAGAAAGGGGGGAAGGAGACAGCAAACAAAGAAATATATGAAACCCCTCTCTCTCTCTAACACCATTTCTGTAAAACATTCTGTTTCCAACCCAGCTGCAGATTCTCATCCACATTTTCTTCTTTTAAGGTTTCCTTCCCTTGTCTTTTCTCTGTGTGAAATCCCCTGCAAAAATGGCCGATAGATTCTTATCACTCACTTCCTCTGATAGAGCTGTTGAACAGGTCCCCATTCTTCTCCTTTTTTTAATCTTCCTTCATTTTCAATTGTTTTTCTTTATGATTTTTGAAACCCCTTTTTGGGTTTTCGGTTATTCAGCCTGTCTGAACTTAATTATATTCAAAAAGAGATTCAGTCAGTTTTTACCCTAATGTCTGTTTGATTTCTTCATGTTTTAGGTCACACTCATGGGCTTCCTTTTCAGGTTTCAAAAATTCAAACTTTATCCAATGGATTTTCGATTTTTCACAAGCTTAGATGACGATACCACTAAACTCTTGGAAAAAAGAGTTATCTAAAATTCAACTTTTATCCCAACTGGGTGTCTGAATTTTTCAAGATTTTGGTGTTAACACAAGCATGAAGATCAGTTTCTCTTTACCTGTAAAGTTGTTATCGAAAGATACACAGGGAATCCCAAGTTTTTTCAGTGTAGACAAAATATTTGTGATGTTGACACTCGAAAGATATAAAATTGTGGATGAAATTGCATTTGGGGGGGTTTTTATTTATTTCTTTATTTATTAAACTTTCCCCATTTTATCAAACAAATCATGAATTTAGAAATGTTAGCATTCTATCTTCCAAGATGAACTCATCAAATGCTAGATTTGGATTTGGTTGTCGAACTTAGATTTCATACAAACATTTGATGTTTTCAACTTAATTTAGTAACAAGAATCTTTGATTTCGAGCAGGCGATTGTGGCTTTACGGAAAGGTGCATATATTTTGAAGTACGGTAGAAGAGGGAAGCCGAAACTATGCCCGTTTAGGATATCCACGGTATGCCTTACGAGAAAGCTTACTTGAATAATTACTAAATTTACTGACAGTATATCCCACTCAAAAGTAGGGAATGAGGCCAGATGTACACAGATATGTCCTCTGCTCCCATACGGTAGAAACAATATATCCCACTCAAAAGCGGTGTTTTAAGGTGGGATGTAGACAGTTTTGCCCCATGGTCCCAAAGGGTAGAAACAGTTATCTCACTCAAAAATAGGGTTTGGAGGTGGGATGTAGACAAATTTATCCTCTGTATATCCCCCTCGAAAGTAGGTGTGAGATGTAGACAAATTTGTCCTCTGGTCCCAAAGGGTAGAAACAATATATCCCTTATGTCCACAAATTTGACATGTGGTCCCAAAGGGCAGAAACAGTATATCTCACTCGAAAAAAAGGTCTAGAAGTAGGATGTACACAAACTTGTCCTCTGGCCTCTGTCCCAAAGGGTAGAAATAATGGTTCATGATCACCGTTTTACCATCCCATTAAATTCTATGTTACTTCAGTTCGTTTTTAATAAGCTTTGAATCTCATTCTCGGTTTCAGGATGAAAGAACTTTGATGTGGTTTTCCGGCAAGGAAGAAAAACAACTGCAACTAAGCTCGGTTACCAACATTATTCGTGGCCACGGGGCTGTAAGTTTCTAAAGCACGGAATGGAAAAATGCTCTCTTTATCGAGTTTTTTGTAGCTAATTTTATGATCGTTTTATCGATTCATTATGCTAAATTTCAGAGGAAACTTCAACCAGAAAGAGAATGCCATTCATTTTCACTAATATATATCAAGAACCAAGCTCATTGCTCCCTTGATCTGGTGGGTTTGACTTGTTAATCGAGCATTGACTTTCCGATTCTTCCATTAAGCTGAGATTTTGATGGTTTTTCTTTTCAGATATGCAAAGATAAGGTGCAGGCAGATTCATGGTTTTTAGGCCTGAAAGCTTTGATATCAAAGTGTCGAGATTTCGGGCAGGCTGAAAACCGGAGAGGGATTCAAAGTTGCGTAAACAGTCCCACGAGTTTTATTCTAAGAAAATACAATTTGGGGCTCTCGAAAGAAACCACGAAAATGTCTCAGGTTCTTATACCTGCTTTTTATTTGTATCGTATTGCTTACTCATAACTGGCTTTTAAACATTTATCTCGTGTCTAGGTATTCACGGAAACAGTTGTTTCTACTCTTTGGGGTAGAGGTACATCTTACCCCGGGCCCCACCTCTGGGGATATATCGGGCTCGTTTGCTTTGGTTTGGTTTACTAAGTTCCCTATTGCAGTCAAACTTGTGAACGTTATGTGGAAAATAACGTGTCTAATTTTCTCGGACGTGAAGGTGCGAAGTGTATGTGGGAGCCCGATTCCATCGTTATCGGATCGGTGTTTCTCCGATGGCCTCTCGCTTTCATCTGATAGTTTTTATTCGCGATCAAGTTTATCGAGTGGGCAGAATTTGACTGATGGTTTAGTCACGAATTCTCCTTGCGTCAAACCAGAAGAACCTAAAAAGAAACTGAAAACCCTTAGCCGGTTTGTTGCACCCTCCCTTGAGCCCAAAAAAACCAAATTGACCGACGTTTTGATATGGGGAGAAGGTGTCCGAAATGGACCGTTGGGCGGTGGTGTCAACGGCTACCGAAACGAAACACAGGTAGATGCATTGTTGCCGAAAGTTCTTGATTCGGTTGGGATGTTAGATGTCGAAAAGATTTCTTTGGCCGGAAAGCATGCTGCTTTAGTGACTAAACAGGGTGAAGTTTTCTGCTGGGGTGACGGAAAAATGGGAAGGCTCGGGGACGGCATATGTTTCCCGAAAGAAGTTGAGTCACTTGTCGGAGTTCGTGTGAAATCGGTTTCTTGCAGCGAATATCAAACTTGTGCCGTAACTTCATCCGACGAACTCTATACATGGGGTGACAAAGGCTCCGGTGAAAGTATCCGGTGGCTGCCGCACCTGGTCTCCGGCGGTTTAAATGGGATCAGCGTATCGAAGGTTGCTTGCGGAGAATGGCACACCGCCATTGTGTCTACTTCCGGTCAGCTATTTACTTTCGGGGATGGGACTTTTGGTGTTCTTGGTCATGGAAATTGTCAAAGTTTGACCGAACCGAAACAAGTCGAATCTCTCAAAGGAATGTTGGTGAAATCGGTCGCCTGCGGGCCGTGGCACACGGCGGCGGTGGTCGGGACCACAACTGGTCCGTGTAAATCAAGTTCTGCAGCCGGGAAATTGTTCACATGGGGCGATGGGGATAACGGAAGACTCGGTCACAGCGATCATGAGACGAAGCTCAAACCGACATGCATTGTTCGGCTTGTCGATCACGAATTCGTTCAAGTATCTTGCGGAAGAATGTTGACTGTCGGATTAACGAGCACTGGTGTCGTTTACACGATCGGAAGTTCTGTCCACGGACAATTAGGAAACCCGCAAACCCGAAACCAGTCGGTAACACTCGTTCAAGGCAAACTAAAGTTCGAATTCGTCAAAGAAATAGCATCAGGATCGTATCATGTTGCCGTTTTGACATCGAAAGGAAATGTTTACACATGGGGCAAAGGAGCGAATGGGCAGTTAGGCCTTGGTGATACCGAGGACCGAACCTCGCCGACTTTAGTCGAGTCCTTGAGACATCGGCAAGTCTGGGCCATCAGCTGCGGGTCGAGCTCAACGGCTGCAATTTGTGCACACAGATCAATAACTTCCAGTTTCGATATATCGGTTTGTCGAGGATGCAATATCGAGTTCGGGTTTATGAAGAAGAAACACAACTGTTACAACTGTGGCCTCTTGTTTTGCGGTATTTGTAGCAGTAAGAAGACGAAAAACGCGTGTTTGGCACCAGACGAGACCAAATCCTTTCGGGTTTGTGATTCTTGCTTCAAATGCGTTGAACGGAATGGGTCAAAAACAGGTCAACTGTTGAATATCGAAGATCTTACTCCACGACCATTGATGATCAAAACATTCTCGGAAGAAACTGATGACCAATCTACGGTAACTTCGATATGGAACAAAACAAGAGATAGAAACCAGGTGGGTTCGGGTTCGGGTTCAGGTTTGGGTTCGGATTTGGATCTGGATTTGGACTGGGGTTCATCGTTAATGAGTCGAGAGCCCAGGTGGGGCCAGGTGTCTTCTCCCGCATCTTTCCGGAAGCATTGTAATGAAGAGATCACACGGAACAATCTGAACATTGATTCTCATATTTCTCCGACCGTTAAGCATAAAAGAGCCAAGGACGTAATTAAGGCATTGACATCACGGGTAATTATTCTTCTATCACGTATCTTTAGGATCGATGATCATAACGGAAAACGTTAAACATATAAAATAAATATACATCGGGACAAGATTGAACAAAAACTAGCTGTTCCACGTTAGAACGAGACAAGACAAGACTGAGTGGGACAAGATTAAGAAATTACTAAACTACCCATGTCAAAGTTATAACTAAAATCCTCGTTTCAAAACTCACTGGTTGATCTAAGATCCGAATTAGGCTCCGTGTCATTTAATTTGAAATACATGCTTATATCGATTTGAGGGTAAACTCTTGATTTAAAATTCTGGTTGTTTTGCAGCTTCATTTAATGTCACCAAGAGCTTTTATGCGAAAACAAGCAAAATCTCCTGTCGTTGAGCCGACAATGAGCGCTACACACTTGTCGGCTAGATCAAAACGTGTGCCTTGTGATGCCGAGGTCCGAGGTGTTAACGATTCGTGCAATTCCGCTCTTGTTTCGAGTATGCACAACAATATATCTACTCAGAGTGCGGAGAAGAGACCATCAGATGAAGCGGTCGCTAAAGAAGCGGTTTCTGAACAGAACAAAGTAAAGCAAAAGCACGAATGGATGGAAGAGTATCAAACGGGCGTTTACATCACGTTCATTATGTTGCCCACCGGTCAGAAAGGGATAAAGCGAGTCCGATTCAGGTACATTTGCATTTTGGCTTTTGATAGTAATGGAGAGATGGTAAGCAAATGGTATCTGCTTGGCCTGGTATTGAAACAAGAAGCACCTGTTTGTTGTACCAGGGTCACTTAGATAACCCTTGAAGCATTTGGTGATCTGGTTACCCTTGGTGCACCATGGTCACCTAGTAATCTGGTTCGCCTTGTGTGCACCCAAGTCACTTAGGTCATCTGGTTAGCCTTGGTGCATCAAATTCTTGTCGTTGTAGTGAGCTAAGCTCAGTACATGCTTCTTGACTCGATCTTTGTTAGGAACAACTTGGTGAAAAATAACTCGTCGTCGTTGTATGTTTTTTGCAGTCGGAAAGTGTTTAGGGAAAAGGAAGCAGAGAGGTGGTGGGAAGATAATCAACAAAAAGTATACGATAATTACAATGTCGATGGCTACATAAACTCGTATTAGGTTCGAGTCAAAGGTCAAGTCGTCGGGGTTAAAAAGAAGGTTGGAAAACAAGCAACGCGGGGGTGTTACGAGTGGCGGGTGATACGCGATCTTGTATGATTTTGTTGATATAGGAAACTATTAATGTGGCCAGCGCAACGCGTATTATCATAGTTTTTCGTTGGCTCTAACGTTCTTGATCCATTTCGTTATGGCAGTTACTAAAAAAGAGTCGTCTTAATGCAAAATAGTTTATTTTACATAGAGTTTGAAGTATGAAGAGGTGGAATGTGTTAAAATATGTGAATTAGATGCTTAATTTGAATCAAAATTAGTTAATGAGTTAAAACACATGATATTCAAGTGAAGTGTTTTTATTTAAAAAAAAAAAATTAAATGATTACTGACAAAATATATTTTAATTTTAATTAATTATAATTTTTATCAATTTTTTTTAAATGTAATTATTTTTTGTAAATATAAGTACTTTTTATTATATTTGTTTAATTTTATAGATCTAAATATTTTTTGGTTTAAAAAATGTTTAAGGACTTAATCGTTCAAAATATGAATGTTTATTGGGGGTTTTTTCGGACTATTTTTACCACATTAACTAGTTGTACAAGTCATAAGAATGTATCCAACAGGTTTTAGAAAAGTCCAATGAGTTATTTAACATGTTTTGGATTGTCCAATGACTTATTTGTTCCAAAATATTGTCCAAGGACTTATTTGTTCCAAAAAATTGCCCAATGAGTTATTTATCATGTTTTGGAATGTCTAAGAACTTATTTGTTCCAAAAAATTATCCAATAACTTAATCATTTCAAACACTAAAGTCCATTGGGTTTTTTTTAGACTTTTCCTTTATTAATTTCCTAATTTATCCGTTGATTTGTGGTTGAGATTGGACCTCACAGTTACCACAAACTAATCAGTTCTCATTTGATTAGGCCCCTACATACATATATATATATATATATATATTTTATATATATATGGGGCTGGTTCAAATGCTAAACAATATTATCGTGTTAACTTTGTTAACCCATCTTAGCAATTAATTTGAATAATAAACGGTTGTGATTTAATGATATTTAAAAATTAATTATTAAATTAATATTTTCAATTAACATATGTGAACAAAATATCAAAGGAAAGGATATTTAAGTAAAAAGTAATCTATCTTTGATATATGAGGTGTCAGACATATGAAAAACTTGTGTATATCCTCAAAACACATCAAATAAAAAAGATTAGACATATGAACCACATGTGAACCGTATAAACATCTTCTGTATATTCAGGAGCCAACTCTGTTGTATATACATGAACACCTACGAAGCTTGTATTCACATGAATCACATATACTGTTCATATTCATGTGATGTGATTGTGCATATGTATCGATATGAACATCTATTGCCTTTGATATGTGTTCATTTAAACGAATTCAAATGTCATACTAATCACTTACCAATAGGAACGCTTTGATCATTTTCTTTATTATCGGAATTCGAATTGCAAATGTAGTCGTAGACGATTTTGTCATTTCCATTGTTGTCAATCTGTTTTACAATAGGATTATCCATATTACTCGGACGATACGGAAATCTTTTATACTTACGAAAACAATATCATTATATGTAGAACATCATTTGTAAATTATGATCATGAACACGTAAGAAAATAAAATTCAATATTACATCATTATCAATTAGTGAGATCTTTAAGATTTGTAACTCCCAATTAATTATTAGGGAATTACATAAATGTCAAATTACCTAATTATCCTTGTATTTAATATATGAGTTATATTTGAACATAAATAAAAGATGAAATATAATTAGTTAAGCTTGGTTAGTATAGTTAATACAAATTTCTTGGTTAGTATTTCTAGCTCTCTCTCTCTCTCTCTCTCTCTCTATATATATATATATATATATATATATATATATATATTACTTTTTCACTCTTCATTCGGTCGTCAGTTATGTCTATTGATCTCACATTGCTTTGCCAATTTGTGGGCTATGCACCTGTTTGGTTATTGGTTTTTCACTATTCTTGAATTTATTTATTCAAATTGTGCTCATTTCCTTGATATCAAACATCATCAACCAAATGAGAATCCCATATAAACCAAGTTTGAATTTTAAATCGTTGTATTATGCTCCTATATAATAAATTATACAAATACATCCTATTATTTCATTTTTTCAAAAAGACTTGTAATTTCAGTATTATTAATTTCGAACATACTTAGTTACTTGTATACGTAACAATAGCTTAATAGTGTTATTTTTCCCTTACAACGAACTCTATGTAAGACGTGTTTAAATGAATTCTGATTTATATTTGGAAGTTTTATCCACAAACTAATGTAAATGGCTTAACATCTTAGGAGAGAGCTTTGGCTCTGGCCTAGCTTGAAACACGGGGAAGAGCGAGCGAAGAGAGGTGATCGAGGGGGGAGGGTCAATTTATTGTTTTTTTTCTTATCTTTTGATTATTATGTAAAACTTTAGTTACACATAGTGTCATTTTATCATACAACAATAAAGTTTTCAAAGTCACATCATCATTTGTAAATCAACTGATCATCCACATCCGAAATTGTTTACAAAGTTTGCTTCTAGACTCCAAAATGGGATTTTGAAAATTAATCCTTAAATACGAATGGATTACCATTAAATCATGTGTATTTTTATAAACAAATAGTTATACTTTACTAAATTCCAAACTTTCCTTTAAAATGATCCAGTAAGACTGATAAATTTGTTAGTAAAATGGTTATAACTTTGTAAAACTGTGTTTTTTTTATTGAATATAGTAAACTTGTCATTCAACTGATTAAAAAATATAGTAATTATATTTCTAAAACTGTGTATATGAGACAATAGTCTATTTTTCTTTTCTTAGTGAGCCTTGAGATACTTTGATTTACTTTATATCTTTATACTATAATAAACAAAAACATGTAAAAACTCGAATAATTTTAGGATGCTTATAAATCGTCCGACACCGTTGTTAGACTATTATACTAAGATAATTATATTATATGCATCATTTTATGTGATGTAAATTGGAGACAAGAAGATTAGCTTATTGGTTAGACCCAGGGTTAGCTCTAGATCCCTAACCTCTCTAGCGATTAACGGTGAGCCCCACCAAAGGTCTAGAAGTGCCTGTGAGCCGGCTTAGAATACCCTGCACCCGTTTTAAGTTGATGTATTCTCCCCCGAGTTAACAAAAAGTAGTTGGAATATGTCATTTTTTATTGAACTGCTCGTGCGTAGTAAGGTATATAAAAATTAGACTATTTACTTAAAAAAACACCAAAGGAAGAGTAATAAGATGTCAACTTTGTCAGGTATTATTGATGATTTTGTTCATGTAAGATGTAACCGTGGATGAAGGGAGATCATGAATAAATACAAAATTTCCAGTTTTGTGTTGAAATCAAATAAACAAAGTATAAGGAAAAGGGGCAAATACCGCACACTAGTAGCGGACGATATCCTTGAGGCATTCATAGAAATGAGATATTTGAATGGTTTCCTTGCCGGAATAGATTGCCTCCGCGCTTCCACCAGACTCTCCCTGTGCCGCCATCTCTACCACCATGTAAAGCCTCTTGATCGGCATCTAAAACACCAAAAGCAACTCAACTCAACTCAACTCGACATTTTAAAAGTCCCTTGTGCAAATAAAGAATCTTTTTTTCTCTAAATTTCGTCTAGAATTAAAAGTGGAATCTGGATAAGTTCTACATGATAATGTTTCTCACCAACTCATGATTTCTAAATTTTTTATTCAGACCGAGGGTATTTATGGAAACAGCCTATGAGGTAAGGTCTACGTACATCTTACCATCTTTGACCCTGTTCTATGTGGGATTCACTGGGTTTGGGTTACGTTCTACTTGCTAATCCATATTTGTGAGTTATGTTAAACGAAGCAAATTGTTTAAAAGAAGAATCTTACATCGTTCAGGGCCTCAGCCGCAGCATCAATATCATCTTCTGAGAACACTTTGATTTGTTGCAACACCTAAAAAGACAAGTATCAAGTACTGAACGCATCCCAAAAAACTAGTAAAACAAATCAAGTTTGGCTTACTATATATCAAAACATTGTCTGTTGGTGTAATTGGATTTACAAGAGAATGAATGGAGTCTTCGTTAAGCTATAATACGGGTTAGGAGGTGTGGAGTACATACTTGTATAAGCTAAATGAACCTGGGATTGGCCCGAATCCTGAACGATATGTAAGAAGCGCCGACACTAAAGTCAGTGTCTTCACGTTCAGTGTAAGATGGCTTCAGTGCCCAGCATCAGTGTTTCAGTGTCCCAAGTTCAGTGGCACTACTGATCAGCATATGCCTTCATTGGCACTGATCAGCGAGTCCTCGCAATCGTGTATAACCTCCGATAAGTTCCCAATAATTGATGGTGACCTCTGGTAACTGCCTACCTTTAAAAGTTGTTTATACTCTCATTTTTACATACAAACAACACAAGATCTCTGTATTATTCTCTCGTTTTCTGCCTCAAAGCGTGAGGATAAACTTGGATTATCCTTGAGTAAATTTTGTGGTACCCAAGATGATTATAGGGTCAATATTACTTTATGGACAGCGATTCGTACATGATCCAAGTTTGTTTCTATCGATTTCTCACGAAACCCAAAACCCAAAAATTCTAACATATTCAACTCCAGATGTTGATATTCTCCAAAAAATGAGTAGATATCCTCCCTCATCCCCCTCTTATTCGTTGGTGAAAGCCGAATGGGGGTAAAAGAAAGTATGTGGGTTGATGGGTCATGGGAATAACAAGAAAAATAAGCCATAAAAGTTGTTCGAACACCTAAAACATTTCCAACCATTGTCCATTTCCACGATGAAGTTTAGAAAGCAAAGATGAAGTGTTCGGAAGATGTTCATTGAAGAGACAAAAACAGTAAACATCAAAGCATATAACTATAAGACTTGTGCAATGACCGTGATGAGAAATAGGACAAATTACCATTTTAGCGTCTTCAGACTTCAATGTAGGAACATGGTAAGTGACAGAGAAAGCATCACAAATGCCAACTGACTCCAGGAAAGACACCTCACTGGTTGTTCCAATCACCAGCATATTTTTACCCTGAAAGTTGAAATGATGAGACCACTTTTAAATGACCTCCAGTAACAAGAAACATTTAATCTTCTTTCTTTTTTCCAATTCTTCTTTTTTTTTTCTTTTGAAATTG